GCTGAATTTTTCCAAGATGAAAACAGCCAGATATCAGGGTTCCTTCAGGCAGGAGCCTCTCATATGAAATACAGTTTGCACAGTTTATGTACATTTCATTCATGTCATTCAGTTCTCAACATTAGCATTGTGACCGATCAGTTATTCTTTTCTGAAGTTCCCATATTTCTTCAGCTTTCTCATACTCTAAGAACAAGACAAGGTGCTTGATACATTCTTAGATATGACAAAGAGTGGAGCAGAAACCCTACAACAATCCCAAATGTAATTTTATGTGTATGAAGTCATAATCATGTTCTTTCTTAAATAATAAGATTAATCACCATTGGAAAAATATCATAACTGAGACAGTGTTGCTAAATCGTCAGGATTTAGAACTTCTATTTCCTCATGAAAGTGCTATCTTCAGTCACAAATTGGGAAAACCATAAGGGAGGATTCAGGCACCTATCAGCTTGAGTTTTTAGCTTATTTCTGTAAGCCTGTTCAAATTATTTGCCTGAATGAAGTCACAGCCAGGTGAAACAGCAGATCTTTGGAAATAAATGTTTTATTTTTGCAGCTTTCACTAGGTATGAAATGCCAGGGACAATTTCCTGGCAAGCACTAAGCTTGATCAGTTTCCACAGAGCATCTAAGGTGACTAATGCACAGATCCAAGCCATTGCCATTTGTAGAGTCAAGGCAGTCTAAGGGAAAATCATGCTGTATATTCCTGTGTTTTAAAAGTGACACTTAATCCCTTAAAACAACATTTCTGCATTTTAAGTGGCCATTACAGGCAACTCTGATGTTAAAGAGCAACAAGAAGTCTGAAGGAAAGAAAGAAAAAAACAGAAAAGAAAAAAAAAACGGGGGGGGGGAAACGGAGAAGAAAAAAGGGGTCACTTCACTTTGCAAAAAGTACTTAGATCTTCAGATCTTCCCAGTTCTATCCATAAACTCAAAAGACAGACATCTGACTTCTGAAAAGTTTCCAAAATATTAAAAAAACTAAAAAATTTGCTAAGCAAATGCACATCCTTACATCTTTCTGCATTGATGTATATGGAAGTATCTTTGTTTACTTTCAAAATGATGTGGAAGACACAGCTAATCAGCTAGAACTCAGTGACAAAATCCCCAAAACTTGCATAGCTGGGTCCTATATCTTTCAATGACATTTTTAAATGCCATTGAACACACAAGTTCTACTGGGATTTAAGCAGAATTTCCTTTTAAAAAAATCACACAAGTTCTTCAGAGTATGAACACTAATGGACAGTGCACACAAAGCATTACAGTGAAGAATGTGGTAGGGGTGGATTAAGGGCACCCAATGAAGGTAAATACCCCTGATCTTTGGCAATTGCTGCTTAAGTTTACCCCAGGAACTGGAGCTAGACATCTGCAGCAGTAAGGTAGGTTAGAGACAGCTGTGGCTGCTGGGAAAGTGCCCGAGACGGGAACCTGGAACCAAAGTGTCTTGATATGGGTCTAGGTGCTAAGACTGCCCTAACTTTCTCGTTCTAAACCTCTTTTTGTTTATTATGCTGCCAAACAACTTGTTTGTTTTATAGAGAAATGGTTTTAGTATGTGTAAAACCAAGACTACTAGAAATCAAAACTGCACACCGTGAAACTGGAAGAGGATGAAGAGAAGCAGAACACCATAACCATGTGACTGTTCTCATTTCACATGAGGAAACATAGGGCTATGCTAACGGGGACAGTCAAGATCTCTCAGTCAATCCCCTCATTCCATTGCAAAATTTGTAACTGGGGAAAGACAGATCATTAAACATTTTATAATAGCAATGATAACTATTTTTTATGCATCAGTGATCCTTACTACAAACATAAGCTGTTAAAAACCCTTGAGGCTAGGGATAGTTAAACTATTTAAAACACTGTAAAAAACATTGGATAGGTTATAAATTTTGAAAAATCATTTGTTATCTGTTCAAGACCTATCTCTCATTTCTGACTTTGTCACTGCAAAGTGGCAAAATTCCTCCTAAACCCATCTACGTTCCACAATTAACTTATGAAAAACTGAAGATTTAAAGAAGCTCCAAAATTTTTGAGCCTTTCAGAAGCACCACAATCAAGAAAACAACCATTATTAGCAACTTTGCAGAGCATACAGATTAGACATACATTTCTGGTTGTGCAACACCACAAAAAACTTGTATGAAGCACACATATATGACAACAGTGATCAATGCCTAATGAGAGACTGCTTTTTAGAGGAGAAAAAAAAAACCTAAACAATCTGCAAATAATTTCAAACCTAAGAATGAGCTAAGGATGCTGCTATAAAGATATGTTTAAACTTCTTACGTGTTATAATGTAATCCTGTGTAAGAGTCTCTGCTTGTCTCTCTTTTCGTTTTGTTTTGACCACACATAATTTTGCTCCCCTAGGAGGAAACAGAGCAGTTCAGTTAGTCTGTTTATATCAAACAGAAAGCAGTTTTTATTCAAGACAGTCTCAACAAAATTATACAGCACTCTAAATATTCATGAATGTGTGTATCTTTGCCTGTTCATTCTCACGTGAAAGGAGGATAGAGAGATTACGGTGTTTCTGTTATAGAACAGTTTATATGACATGCAGAAATAAGGGTGGAAGATTCATTTCACACTTCATTTGTCCACAGTACTTTAGTCTGCACATTGGAAGTGCTGCTCTCCAAACTTGGGCACTCATTTGCTCCTGATATAATTCTTCCTAAGCAGCAGAGTTGGCAGTTATCTAACCAGGGGTGCCTGTAACACTGAGGCAGGAAAGACTGCATAGGTGTAGCTGCAGCAAGATTGATTTAAACCATTGGTGTTTTCCTCCTCATGGTAAATGAAACAAACCAGGAAACAAACCAGGCACAAAACTGTGCTAGGGCTCTGTGGTCTAAACAATGATGACCAACTCTCTTGTTTTTTAAACTGCCAAAATCAGAAAAAGAAAACTTATTTCTGATAATCTTGTAAACTGAAGTTTATCTTCACATCCAAGTGTCCAGGTGAAACAAAGTATCCAGAAAACATGAACTTTAACACAGTTTAGTTTAAAATGCCAGCAAAATAAAGATGGCACATATATGGGAGGAACACCTTATTTGTTCTACTCAATACAAATGAACTGTACATTTCTTCTCAGATGACAGGAAGGAAGCACACGCCAGCTCTCCAGGCAATCAAGATGGCAAAAGAAAATTAGTCACAAAACAAGTATTTATAGGCTACTTAGGCCCTCTTCATCTTGGGTTTGCAAGTCACTGTCTGACAAATGTGTACCACCTTTCCATGAGTTGTACAGGCAAAATCCTCATGTGATAAATGAGGGTGATGAAGAAAACTGGAAGAAAGGTAGGGATGTTCTGCCTTGCTTTGCACCTTGTCAAATGGGGTCTTCCAGTATTAAGTGCTCTGGAGTTTGATACTTCCAAACAAGATTTTTACTTCAGGAAGAAAATATACATTAAAAAAAACATGACTAAATACAATGAACACCCATTCAAGTATCACTTCCTCAGTAACCTCCAAGAGACAGGATGAAAGGGTGGTAGTTCTTACTGCAGATTTCACGCAATTAAAAAATGAATGCATTTGTAAATTCAGGTAGAAAAGCCAGCATACTGCAACAAGAAAAGCCCCAAGGAAAAAGTGTCACTGCATAAGCAAACATTTTGGGTTATTTTTTTTCTCTTTCAACAGCTGCTGAATAAGTAGAACTCTGCAAAACAAATGTTACTGAACTAGTTTTTCTTATTTCTTAGTATAATCATTGAATCACAGAATCAGGCTAAATTTGAGAAAACAACCATAATAGAACACAGTTACGTACCTCTGGCTTTTGACAGGATCATAGTAAACTTTGGCTAAACCATTTCCAGTACCAACCATGATCTGGTTCAGCTTGGGATGCCAAAGGCAACGCACAACACTCTGAAAGAGTGAGATATTGACAGTTAGCTGGTCACTCATCTAGATCTTAGAATTAATATTCACATTATCAAAGAGTGCACCACACTGCAGCAGGACCAAGCTTAAGCTCATGAATTCATGAATGAGTATGTGAATATGTGAATTAATGACTCCAGAGTAGAACACAATGTAAAAGGAGTGACAACACCAGGATGTAGACAGGGAAGGAAATAAAAATTGGTGACGGTGATAACCAGTGGTTTCTACAGACCATCTGATGTCAGGATGTTAATGAGCACAATGAAAATGAAAAGTTAAAGAGGGATTTGAAGAACAGTTATGTGCTTCAGATATGACATAGCGATTCAGGCCTTCATGACTTTTATACTCTTATTTTTAGTTCTTAATTCTTCCACTTCATCACTTTATCTGTTTTTTTTCCTTCTTGTCATACACTGTTGACCTTTCACTTGCTGACTGCAGAAGTAGAAGAGATGCTGACTTTCACTCTTGCTTCTTTCATCCCCACAACACTAAGAACTTGGTATTTGAAGCCAATGTCTCACAGTGCTGTCATCCTTCTGGTCAGTAGTGAAACTCATTTTCAGACATTAAGAGTATTGTTCTACATGTGACTTTGAATCTCCAAGTACTGTTCTCAGTCTGATTCAGCAGGACAGCACAGAAACTCTAAGACTCAAACTTCTGACTCCAGAGAGCCAAAGTGGGCACATTCTGCCACAAAGGACAACATATCTCATCAAACACACAAAAGAAAGTATCTATTTTTGACAGAGTAATGCCTTAAATGGATGCTGTCCAAGGCTGAAGTTGGTTTGTGCCACAGATGTAACAAATGTATCCAGAGCTAGCAAGATGCATTATCTTGCTAGTATTTCATGGAACAATGCTCCCTTTTCTAGCCTTCCCTTTCTTCTCCCTCCACTTCCCACTGCATGTTCCATACTATTTCTGGTTTTGTCCAGCCTCCATTTTTTTGATGCTAGGAGGCACATAACATTAAAAATATTGAAAAAACTTCTAAAGCCCATTCAGTCATCATGAATCAGAACTTCATTTTACCACAAGATGATGCATGGCACTCTCCTGAGCTGTTTTTTTTCTGTTTTTCTCTTTTAAGAAGAAAAACCAAGTGAGATGAAGTTTCATTAATCAAACAGACATTTTTTACAAGATTCCCCAGCAAAGCATCCTCCTATAGATACATACAACAACATACAACATACAACATTACACTTTCCCATTTACTTATAGGTACAAATAAACCTGCTTTGCTTATTGCAAGACAACTACAGAACAACATTTTTAGAGGTAAATCTGAAGTGCACAATACAGAGTTGCTAACAAGTTACTGGATCTAAGTAAGAGTCTTACATGCTGTTATGTAATGCTTAAATTGCTAAAGTAACTCTAAAACACCAAAGCTAGTAACAAGTATTGAAGGTTAAAGGTGGGTGGCCTTTTCCTTTTATTAATATTTATTGCATGTGGTTAGCCAGCCTTTTTAGACTCTGTAGTTAATGTGGTTCTCCACTTTCTTCTGTCAAGTAAATGTATTTTATAGCATGGTAGTGGATACCAGCCAACAAAAACAAGCCTTAGACAGTGTGGCTCAGCACTGATGGGGTTTGCTGAGTTTCTAACTTGTCAAACATGCACAACACACTTAAAACCACCACGGCACGTGCTACAGAGCAGGCGAAAGAAACTGCCATTAAATGTAGCCCTATAAATCTTGCGAAACCGTAAAACATTCCCAGAATATAATCTGTTAAAAACTAAACAAACTCAAGCTCTGAACATGCAAGTAATTTTATCAATCCACTGGCATATAAACCTACTTTATAAGAAATAAAAACTACTTCTGTGGTTTTCAGATTATTTCAGAAACTGACAATACTTCAAAAATACAAAAATACTGAATCCCAGAACTATATCCTAAAAATTTTTCCCAATCATTTAATCCTAAAGAAGTCAAAATTCTAATTAACAAAGAGATCATTGTAGGCTAGGTCTTAATACTGGAAGGGAAGGGTAAGGAGAATCTTTATCACACAAAAATAATTAACACTTCAAGAGCATTTATTCTTTGATGCCTCTAATTTCTCAACTGCTTCTACCTAGAATAACTCAGGTAGGCATTTTCATCACTGGAAATGCCAAACATCAAATTACATCTCAAAGAAGGTCCTACCACCCAGCTCTCCAGGCAAGGAAGCATGTTAACTGCCGACAAAGAAGTATTTTCCTGCCTTTACCTAAGTGTGTATGTAGGTAGGTACCCACCTACTGATACTGAATTTTTACACAATTCTAGAATGGTTGTGGTTGGAAGAGAGCTCTGGAAATGACTAATTCAACCCTCCTGCTCCAAGCACGGTCAAACACTACAGACAGCTCAGGATAACATCCTGTTTGGTTTTTAATATTTCCCGGGACAGAAACTTGACATCCTCTTTCAACAACCTATTTCAATGTACAATCAGCCCCACCATAAAAAAACCCAAAACCCCAACCACAAACCTCTAATCATTTTCTTTCATTTAAAACAAGAAAAACCTAAGTAAATTCTGAAAACAAAAAAAATTCCAAGTCATAGCTTAGTAAATGGAAAATGTCTTGTGACAAATAAGAATGATAAAATGCAGAATGTATCATCACATAAACATCTTCAACATTTGAAAAAAATATTTCTGTGACAGCTAAATGTTTTGGACACTATGCTTTTGGAGCACGAAGTCCTGGAAGTCGGACATAAAAATCCTGAAAATAATTTTTTCCATAGACTGATGTGGCCAGTTTTGTGATTATAAGAAAATTACAGAAGATAATTACTAGTAACAATTTAAAAGTTGTTTTGTACTTTTGCTATGGCAAAAGCATTAAGTTCTTCAAATGAAATCAATCTGAAAGGACTTTGGCAATGTCTATTGCATATACAAACACAGTAGCTTCCACTGGGAAATACTGGGAAAACATTGTGAAAAAAATTTTGTGAAAACAGACAGGGAAAATATTAAAAAATTACCTTAAAGAAAAACACTGCAAATTTACCATCTTGATTCTCACTGTGAAAGAGGCTAGAACAGATTCAGTGGGTGTCATTGTCCATTGGCAGCTCTGGGGTGGTTCCAAAATAATCTCACCCCTATCAGTCTGTTCTCACCTCTGTATTTCCTTTTGAATCGTCTAAGCAGAGCTGTTGCTGCAGGTAAACAGTAAACACCACCAGAATAATTTTTCTGTCAGTTTATTCTCCATCTAGGTGAGCTCACTAGGCAACAACATACACGGCTTTCCTGAGCAAGTAATAGTTCTTTGACAAGAGTTAACAGCAGTGTTTCTAAATAAGAAACTGAATTCTCATTTTCTGTAACACAGAATAGGACATTTATTCTGACCTAGGAATACAGTCCTGTGTTTAACAGGCACAGTGAAGAATAACTGAAGCAGATTTGTCAGCAAGCAAAAGCTAATTACCTCAACTGAAACTGTCCAGAGCACTTGGGCAACACCCCAACAGAAGTAAACAATGCCGAGAGGGCATTTTACAGGGTCAGCAAGAAAAGATTTAAATGATTTGTGGCATAGGAGTGGAAAATTTACCCCCTAAGATGAAACTATGAAGCTGGTAAAGTCATAAAACTACAGAATGATGTCAAGGACTGGAAGAATTTTCCAGAATCTTTGCTTATAAAGATGGTTTGAGACTGCAGCAACAAAGGCAAAAGGCAAAATTCAGTTCCCTGACCCACACTTCAGATAAAAACACTCGATTTTAGAGTGCGGAAAGAGTTGATTCAGGATGGGAAGTGCAGTCTCAGAGAGGTCAGTATAGATCAGGCAGGAAAGAAAGGTTAATAATTTCTAGTAAGAGGGACTACAAATGTTTAGAGATCACACATCAGCAGTGGATTGGGAGAAGCTTTGGAGAGGATGCACTTTGGTAAAAGTGACGAAAAAAAACATGAATGAGCTAACACAGTATTGTATTCCTATCTCCTGTGGATTACAGGGTACATATAGTCTTCATACAAATGTTACATCTTGGACCTAAAAGGTTTTTCTGCAGCATTCCAGAGCCTGAGCAGTCACTTAGTCTTACTAATATCTTATGAGTCTACCAGAATGTGAGGTTGCTCATAATATAACAAAATAACAAGAACATATATAAAGTATGTCTCTTGAAAGCATTATTCACCTCTATCCTCTCTCATTCTGCTGCAAAAGATTAAGGGAAGATTCAGATTTCTGTCCATCACTGCCTTCTTGAATTCCTACACTAACCATGAGCTGATCTCGTACAAAAGGATTGTTTTTTTTCATTTGGTGCATTTCAGCTGAGATCAACAAAATCTCACAAACTTTTTATGTAAACAAGCCCCATGATAACAGTTATTATTTTACTGTTAGGAAAATTCAATTAAACAGTAATGGATGTGTGCATGCATATGGAGGCCAGAATTGCAACAAGACTGGCATGATAATGATTTCCCCATTTTCAAAAAAATTCCAAGAACTTTCATATTTTTGAATCACCATACATTCCTCAAGTGCTTAGGTCAACACAACTATATTCTCTCCTTGCTACTGCAAAATAAAAAGTAAATTAGGAGGACCATATTTTACAATGATGTTTTAATTTCTTTTCCCTCCTTCAGCACATCACAGTGCTTCTCAATCAGACACTGTTTTCTTTGGAAACTGCCCTTTATCCCCTAAAGGGAGTTAAGTTTTAAGGTTAAGTACCATGCAGTTATCTTTGAAAATGAACATTTCATATAAAGTGTGTTTTCAGATAATGCATGTTAATGCATCAGCTTTTTCAAGTTCCTTAGTAAACTTTCTCCTGCCATGCATGGAAGAGGACAGGAAAACATGTTTCCATATCACTTATGCATTCTTGGAATAAACATGTTCCATTTTTTCCTTTTCACTTCAGGTACACACTTCCATTCTTCTCTGGTTGTTCTTGACTTTCAACTGGCTTATACTTTTGC